GGCTAATAAAAAAATGTCATGTGAATGATTTTACCTTTTAATTTTTAATTTTTATATTATTTCACGCTCTTATAGGAGAGTGACTACACTCACTTTGTCACGTCAGCTCTTAGGGTGGTATTTAATTAGTTCAGAATTATTAGGATGTGATTTAAACGCTCGTATAATTGAAGTATTAAAGTGAATTTTGCTACCAAATTTAGAAGTGATTTTATGCATTTTCCCAATTTAAAAAGGAAAAAGTAATTATCCATTTCCTTGTAACAATTTTAACTTCTGTTATTAAAATTTAAATTTTAAATTTACTTGTTATATTTAGTATTTTTTACAGTTCTTTATTTTATTTTTGTTTTTAGATGTTAGATTAATTTTACTAATCAATAAATTTCATTTTCTTATGAAAGATTACTGTTTTTAACTTCTTCTGTTTCTAAAATCATTTTTAAATTTATTTATTTATTTATTATTCGATTATTTTTTTATTATTTCTTTCGTTAACATATTTTATGGATTAAATTAATATTAGAAAAAGGAAAAAGTAACTTTCCATTTCTGTTGAACAATTTTAACTTCTCTAATATATTATTTAAATTGATTCTTTTTATTAATTTAAATAAGATAGAAATTTGTGAAATTATATGGTGTTGATATGTAACACTTTTTGCTTCTCCTAATATATATGTATATATATAGAAAGAATTATTATTATTATTATTATTATTATTATTATTATTATTATTATAGATTATAGGTTTCTTTCAAAAATAATTCTTTAGCAACAAAAAATCTATGTTTTGTACTAAAAAAATGCTTCCAGATGACGTTACGAATAAAGAGGGTAAATAAAAATTTAGAGAATCACGTAACTCAAAAAGAAACAAAATATTACAACATGCAAAAGATTAACATAGAATCAAAAAAAATATACAATTTTAATGTTCAGTTTATTGAAAGTGTACCAACACAAAATTTAAAAACTTACTAGATTTGAAATATTCGAACCAAATAAAATTTAATCCACCAATTAATAAAATGTGGATAAAAAAAATTCTAGCAAAATCAATAAAAAAATTCATTAAAAAATAATATATTTATAGAAGGAAGGAATCAATGGTAGGTGGTTATATATTTGAACAAATCATATTTTTAGTTATTTTATTTTATTAGTTTTTCACATTTTTTTTAGATTTTAAATTTATTTTGTTAAACAATTTTGATTATGTTTAAAAAATTTAACGTGGGATTTGTTTTTTGTTTTTTTTTAAATACTTTTTATATGGTTTTTGCAAACGGCCACATTAAATTTGTAACTGCTTCAAATTTCTATCTTGTATTTTAAAGTGTAATTTAATATTTGATACCATTACATGTAATTAATAACTAATAATTCATATTTTATAAGAAAAGTACAAAGATTAAAATGATTTTACTATTATTGTTACCTACGGTTGGTTATATTATTATTATTATTATTATTATTATTATTATTATTATTATTAAATAAGAAGATTGTGGAAAGATGGTTAAAATATTTTTTCCAAAAGGAATTACATGCACACACGTTACATATTCAACTTTTATATTTTAAGGAAATCTATCTTTAATCCTATTACATGTAATTTATTTAGTTATTTTAAAATCTGTTTATATATTCATAGATATTATTATTATTATTATTATTATTATTATTATTATTATTATTATTATTATATGCTTTTTTTCTAAAGGTTGATTTTTCTAATAATATAATATATAGGGCAACTTTCACATATAACAAATAAAAATTTTATATTTGTATGCTATAGCAAAGTTTGCATAATTGCGCTCCATAGTAAACATAAAACTGTATAATTCGCTATACATATACAATTGTATAATTCGCTGGCCTAAATTGTATAATTCGCTGGCCTATTTCGCTGCAATTATATAATTCACTATCCTATTTCACTGCAATTGTATAATGCACAATTGTATAATTCGCTGCCTATTTCGCTGCAATATTTGTATAAAATTTGTTTTGCATACAATTGAATCGAAGTAAAATATATGTAAATTGCATAATTATAAGTGTATAGGAAGAAGATATATGTTTTTCTCTCGCTTTATACAAAAACAGAAACACATTATATACACTTCTGTTGTATAAAGCGAGATAAAATTGTACTTCACTGCAATTGTATAATTCACAATTGTATAATTCGTTGGCCTTTTTTGCTGCAATATTTGTATAAAATTTGCATTTGTCTACAATTGAATTGAAGTAAAATGTTTGTAAATTATATAATTAAGTGTATAACACGAAGATATATGCTTTTGCATGTGTATATACAATTTTCTCTCGCTTTACACAAAATAAAAACACAATTTATACACTTCTGTGTATAAAGTGAGAGAGGCGAGCAGAGGGAGAGTGGCGAGCGAGATTTTTGGGAGAGAGGCGACTGGCAAACTTTAGCTAACGTTTGCTATGAAGCACAATTAAATCAAACCATAGCTACTCCATTTATTTTAGATTATTAGTTTATTATTATATACAATTATCCCTATATAAAATGTATTTAAAATTACAATCAAATGGATAAACTATCTATGATTATGATAAATCACAATTTTTAAAAAGAAACGGTAAAAGAATCAATTAAAGAAAACATAACAAATTCAGAAACTATTTTTAAAATAAAATATCAATTTATTTTATCTCTACTATAGGTATTAGTATTTTTAATTATTTAAAAAGAATATTTTTTTGGTGCTGATACGTGACACTTTTTCTTCTCCTCTTATATATAGATAGATTTGTATACTGTTCAAATTTTTTCCTTATCTTTCAATATTTTACTCAAACACTTGACTTGAAATTTACTTATGAGAAATTATTTTTTTATAGAGATAACAGTAAAAAATACACCTAAATTATTCTTTTTTTAGTTTATACCTAAATTATTGAGAATGTAAATTTTATATCTAAATTATAACTTATTAGCTTGGAAAAAACACATGTCACTTTTATTATACTCTCATCATAGTGTGTCATAAACTATCTCTTTTGTTTAAAGAAAATGTCAAATCAAAACTCCATATAGACAAACATTTCATCTTAACAAAAATTAAATATATTATTAACATTAATTAAAGTTAAAAATTAAAGTATTACTATTTCATCCCAATCACTGAAAATCCCCCCCCCCCCCCCCCCTTCCACTTTTTCCAAATAATATTTTAGATATGATTTTAATTTG